CTTGGTCTTGTTGGTCTTGCTCTGTTCTGCCTCACAGGGCCGTTGTGAAGACAAAATGTCCCAGAATCCTTTGGGTTCCATGACTGATTAATCTATGCTAAAAGGGTTCCTGGAGAGAAGACCTGCATGCTTGATTTTTTTAAAAAAAAAAAAAACCCCGCAAAACTACTGAAGGACCCAAACGTTCCCCCCCCCATCAGGGGTGACACCTGGCATCTTTACACAAGAGTGTGGCTTTCTGGCGGAATTCACGGCCACAAGAACTGCTGCTCACTCAGATGACTCTAAAGGGCGTGAGACAGATCCACAAAGCATGAATCCGTTATTCGCCATGCTGGGCTAACTAAATGGAGTCTCCATGGACAGAGGAGAAGGAGAAGAAGAGATTGGATTTATACCCCCTGCCCTTCACCACCCAATTGAGTCTCAGAGCAACTTACAAACTTCTCTCCCTTCCCCTCCCCACAACAGACACCCTGTGAGGTGGGTGGGGCTGAGAGAGCTCTTGACAGAAACTGCTCTTTTTCAAGGACAGCTCTTATCAGAACTACGGCTTGCCCAAGGTCATCCAGCCAGGTGCAAGTGGAGGAGTGGGGAATCAAACCTGGTTCTCCCAGATTAGAGTCCGCGCACTTAACCACTACACCAAACTTTATCTATCCCTGAGAAGCAGTTGTGGGGAGGGGGGGTGCTAATTTTGTGACCTGTTTGTGCCCTTCCCAGAGGCTTCCGACTTGGCCCGGTCCGGTGGGGCTTTCGTTTCTAAAAAAGAATCAGTACAGGTTCTTCCTATGTTGTCAAGACGTTCCTGCACTTTATTCAAAACAAACATGCCCCATTTCAGTACAGAGATTAAACAGTTAACCCGTCGACCCCCCCCCCCCCTCATTCCCCCCCCCCCCAAACTATCTTGCATTCCTTGAGAACTATGCGGCAGCCATTCTTTGTTAATAATATTTAACTTTTCCTGGCGTCGCCTGGTCCTCCTTGCCCCCTTTTCAGGTTAGCGGCAGACGGCATCCCAAATTTGTAAGCTGCACTTGATGATACGTTAATAGGACGATCTGTCAGACGGCAGCTCGGCGGCCCAGACGAGTCTGTGGAGCCTGGGGAGGGGGCAGGCGTTTCTTTGGAGGCCTGCTCTCCGGTCCCCCACCCCACCCTGTTCCTCCACGTCTGCATACAACCACCCCAAATGCACATCTAGGAACCTTTGGCGTCTGTGGCACCCACAAAGCAAACACATGCTGTGTGCCAAAAAGACCCGACTTCTCCAATTGCAATCATTGACGTCGTTGCTTTTTAAAGTGTTTTTCTCTGTCATTGAGTTCTGCAGATTGTCTAGCTTTGAGGAAATCTTGGCCGTTGGTTTTATTGAACATGTTTGGAACATAAGAACATCAGCAGATCCCCTGCTGGGTCAGAGCAGTGGTCCATCTAGTCCAGCATCCCATCTCACACAGTGGCCAACCAGTTCCTCTGGAGGGCCAGCAACAGGGCAGAGAGGCTGAGGCCTTTAGAAGAACATCAGAAGAGTCCTGCTGGATCAGATCAGTGAAGGTCCATCTAGTCCAGCATCCTGTCTCACACAGTGGCCAACCAGCTCCTCTGGAGAGCCAACAACAGGGCATAGAGGCTGAGGCCTTCCCAAGAACATCAGAAGAGACCTGCTGGATCAGACCAGTGGTCCACCTAGTCCAGCATCCTGTCTCACACAGTGGCTGACCAGTTCCTCTGGATGGCCACCAACAGTACACAGAGGCCAAGGCCTTCAGAAGAGCATCAGAACAACCTTGCTGGGTCAGACCAGTGGTCCATCTAGTCCAGCATCCTGTCTCACACAGTGGCCAACCGGTTCCTCTGGAGGTCCAACAACAGGGCGTAGACAAGGCCTTCCTCTGATGCTGCCTCCTGGCTCTGTTATTCAGAGGTTTTGTGCAAAGGAATCTTGAAAGGTGGTAGCACCTGCACTGATTTACACCACCCAAGGAATGGTGCTCTTCTGATAACTTCCCAGCCTTCTAACCTTTAGACCCCACTATCTCTCTAGCAGAACTTTGCAGTGAGCCTTTTAGGGGTCTCTCACAACACGGCTGCCGCCTTTATTTGGTCCCACTTGTCCTCCAAGGGGCTCAGAGCAGAGTGTATCCAGTCGGTCTCCCATTTTACGCTCACAACAACCCAGCGAGGTAAGCCAGGCCAAAAGAGAGTGTCCACTTCACGGCGGAATGGAAGCCTGAACCTGTGACTCCACGGTCCTAATGTGACACTGGAAGTGCGACCCCACACTATAAAGATTACCTGGCTCAAACCAGGTGAAAAATCCTAATTTTGGACTGGGATATACAAATCCCGGGGGTGGCCACACGGTCGGAGGTTTAGAGAGGTGTGAAAGGCCTCTGCAACTTAAGTAGGCTTATCGGAACTCTTCTCCCCCTCCTCCCTTGAAACTGCTTGGATTTTCTCCAGGGTAGGAAGGAACCTCCAAATTTAGCATGGGCTAAAATGGCAAATAAACTTTGGCCGAGTGCCGAAGAATAGATTTTTTTGAACTATGGTGCTGGAGAAGTCTCTTGAGAGTCCCTTGGACTGCAAGGAGATCAAATCAGTCAGTCCTCAAAGAAATCAACCCTGACTGTTCCCTGGAAGGCCAGATAATGAAACTGAAGCTCCAATACTTTGGCCACCCAATGAGAAGGGAGCCCTCACTGGAGAAGACCCTGATGCTGGGAAAGATTGAAGGTCAAAGAAGACGGGGATGGCAAAGGACGAGATGGTTAGACAGTGTCACAGATGCAACGAACATGAAGTTGAGCCAACTTCAGAGGACGGTGGAAGACAGGAAGGCCTGGCGTGATCTGGTCCATGGGGTCGCGAAGAGTCGGACTCGACTGTGCGACTGAACAACAACCAAAAATGGCAAATGGTGACGGCATTTGGACCAGCTGTGCCCACTAGGGGGAGCATTTCTCCGCCAGCTCATGGAAAATGCCAATACCATTTCATGAACTGCTTTAATGATTTCTGTGGGTCCTAATTAAAGTACTGCAGAACTCTATTGAGAAACTTCTCGGGGCTTAACAACAGTCGGGGGGGGGGGGCTGGATCAGAACACTGGTAGGGTTGCCAGGTTCTAGGTAGGGCCCGGAGATCTCCCAGAGTTACTCCAGGCAACAGAGATTACCTGGAGGCTTGCGACCCTATCTCCAAGGCAGCTGTTTTCTCCGGGGTGTGTGTGTGTGATCTCTTCCACCTGGAGAACAGTTGTAATTCCAGGAGATCTCCAGCCACCCTCTGGAGATTGGCAACCCTAGACTCGTGGGATAGGACGGGGTATACATTAACAACAACATACTTGGCGATCCTAGAATCTCTTCGGCATGTGGTCTTCAGAGGTACATCTCCTTTGTACATGGAAGTTCCATCACACGATCGCGGATAATAGCCATGCACCCCTCAAGCTTATACCAAACCGAGAGACTGAGAAATGACAGCTGGGCCCGGCATGGACTGGAGGGCTTACAGACATGTCTTGGAAGCCCCTTCCCCAAATGAGGCTCCGGTAGGTTCCCAGCCTCCCGGTGGGGCCCGGGGATCTCCCGCTTTGACGACTCATCTCCAACTGACAGAGACCAGCTCCCCTGGAGGAAATGGCTGCTTGGAAGGGTGGGCTCTATGCCATTGTACCATGCTGAGGCCCCTCCCCAAACCCCGCCCTCTCCCGGATCCCACCCCCCAAAGTCTCCAGGTATTCCCCAACCCAGACCTGGCCAAACCAAGGCTCCGGCCCAGTCCTAAAGCCCAGGGGCGGACAGCCTCCCCACGCCTCCCAGTCGCACATTCTTCCAGAATTCTCAGCCGAAAAAGTGGCGATGCCTCTTAGATAATAAAAGGAAGAGGACGAGGGGGAAGGTGGAGAAGGAGGGAGGAGAAAGACGGGGCCTGATGTAAATCTCTTTGGCACGGGAGGAAGATTCCACTCAGCCGCCAGTCTCCCCTTCAACGGGAGTGGGGAAAGGCCGGCCTGACAGCTCATTAGAATGTGAGCCCTCCCTCCCTCCCTCCAGATGTGTTTCTCGCTCCTTTCTTTTCTTCTCCCTCCACACACACACACACACACACCCCTCCTTCGGGCTGATGGAAAACTCTCCCACAAAAGAAGTATTTATTTGCTGAGGAGGAGCAGAGCGGGAGAGAGAGCAGGAGGCGAGGGGAATTCGGAGCACGGTCAGAGGGAAGCATCCCTCCCAGAGAGGACCTGCCGAGAGGGAGACGGGCGAGCAGGTTGGGGCCTCCCTCCGGGCCCCTGGGAAGGACCCGCAGCTGGCGGAAGGTGGCGGAAAGTCCTCCTTTTTCATCTGACGCTTCCCCTCAGAGGTACCTGAGAAGTTCTTTTGACTCTGGGGAGAAGAGGGCTGGCCAGGTTCGGACCCTTGGCCTGTGGCGGGGTGGTATCTCTGGGAGTCCAAAACCACACCAGGTCCCTTCAGGAGGGGGAACCTGTCTTTCGGTCAGGGAGGAAGGACCGCTTTGCCGCGTTCCAGCCGTATGGATGGACCCCCTTGGAATGGACCGCTCTGGCAGTCTTCCGTGACCGGAGGTGAAATCTGTCGCTGAGGCAAAGAGGACACACCGGTCAGCTCCCAAGACCATCTCGGTCTCCAAAGGTTTAAGTTTTTTGGTCCTCTGCTGTTGTCATTCGGTTCCTTGTGTTTTTTTCTGGTTTCTCTTCTGTGCACGTTTGGAACTTGAGGCTGGCAAAGTTCTTTTGCGAGAGAGATCAAGCGGGAAAGATCGGACGGGGAGCCGCTTGGGTTGATCAGCCGCAGACCGGCCCATTTTTGGATTTCGACCTTCGCAAGCCACCCTGACGGAGGAGTCTTCCAGAACGTACGTCGTCGGCTTGGTCGGTGAGCTGCCCGGAATTTGCTTCTGATGATTGTGGGTTCTTCCAAACTGAACTCAGTTGGGAATAAAATTGTTTGACCGAGCCGGGAGAGAAGACATTGACAACTGCTCCCAAGCTTTACTTTCACTGGGGTTCCATCTTTGGACGCTGGACTTTCCATCAAGAAGATGTCCACCAAAGCCAAAATGAGATACTGGAGCTGGTTCGTTTTGGCAACCTTGCTGTGCCAGGAGTTCTCCCGTTTCCGAGCCGCGGCGGCAAAGAAAGAGCGAAAGAAGGCAAAGGAGCCGAACCAGTACACAGAACCCTTCAACACGACACTCTCCAATAGTGAAGAACTACACGGACAGTCCAAGGTAGGTGTCAAAACATGTTCCGGAGCATCTTTCAGCATTTGTAGTTTTACCATCTGTCCTACCGTCTGGTGGCTCTGAGTGTTAACCCACCTAATTGGTCCTCCGTCTGTACTAGGTAGCTTGTTTGGATTCCCGTTTCACAGATGGGGCAAACTGAGGAAGAACGGGAGTGACTTGCAAGTGCCATAAGCCACATTTAAATGTGTATTGGTTGCACTGAAACTGTTCAACTTACGGGCGCCAATATATTTTAAAAAGGTAATCAGAGGGCAGAGGAACTGGAGGCTGCCAGCTCTGATAACGTAAGAGTGGGACCTCCATGTTCAGAGGCACTCTATCAGACGTTGGAGGTAAATGTCAGGAGGATGAGTATCTCCATCGAGCTCTGCTGATGGGTTTCTTGGCTGGCCAGAGGTAAAATTAGGAACGCTGAGGAAAGAGAGAAACTTGTCTTCCACTCAGCCAGTTTGGTGTAGTAGTTAGGAGCGCGGACTGTAATCTGGGAGAGCCGGGTTTGATTCCCCACTCCTCCACATGCAGCTGCTGGTGTGACCTTGGGTCAGTCACAAGTTCTCTCAGAGCTGTTCTCTCAGGAGCAGTCCTCGAAAGAGCTCTCAGCCCCACCTACCTCACAGGGTGTCTGTTATGAGGAGGGGAAGGGAAAGGAGATTTTAAGACGCTCTGAGACTCCTTCAGGTAGTGAAAGGCGGGGGATCCATCCAATCTCGTCCTCCTCCTCTTCTTTTTCTTCTTCTTCCTGACATTTGCCTCCAACATCTGATAGAGGGCCTCTGAAAATGAAAGTCCTGCTTCTCCTCCTCCTTCTCCTCTACCCTCACAACACCAGTCTTGTGAGGCTGGTAAGGCCAAGAGGGTCCAGGGTTACCTGGTGAGCTTTTATGGCAGTGTGGGGATTTGAACCTGGGTGTCCCAGTTCCCACTATAACCATTACACCACACAATCTCTCAGTCTCCATGAATTTCCACTCTGAGTTCCACGGAAGTCAAGTAGGATCTTAATACCCAGAGACAGGATCACTCGCAACGATACGGACTGGCAACTTCTGGACAGATAAAAGGCGATGCTTCTTCACGTAACCTGTAATTCACTTACGGAACTCTCTTCCACAAGATGCGGCAATGGCTCTTAGTGGGAAGTCTGGTTTCAACCAGATGCTTGGTACATGTCAAGCAATGCTCCCTCTAAGCTGTGGCGTCTCGTGAGCAAAAATTCTACTTTGTGAGCTACTGGCATTAAAGTTGTGTGAGCGAGCGATTTGGCTGCTGCATAGATTAGTTTGCTCTGGAGCCACCCTTCCTGAGCGAAGACAAAAATGCGTGAGCTGGAGGCTAAAAAGCTGTGAGCTAGCTCACACTAACTCAGCCTAGAGGGAACACTGTCAAGCGATGCTCCCTCTAAGCGGTGGAGCCTGGTGAGCAAAAATTCTACTTGGTGAACTACTGGCATTGACGTTGTGAGCGAGCTATTTGGCTAGTGCATAAATCAGTTTGCTCTGGAGCCGTCCTTCCTGAGCGAAGACAAAAATGCATGAGCCGGAGGCTAAGAGACTGTGAGCTAGCTCACACTTAACTCAGCTTAGAGGGAACACTGGTGTCAAGTCGCACGGATGAGTTCTGACATCCAGCTGGCATCGTGTTTAAATAAGTTTTAGACAGACAAACAGGGGGATCGGTTTCCTTCAACCCCTATTTGCGGCTTCCCGGCGGCTTCCCAGAGACCTCAGACGGCTGGGCTAGAGAGAGATCAGCTGCCTCTCTGGTCCGCATGAGATAGCCCCATACAAGATAACTGTTATGCTATCCTCTTCAGCAACCAGATATTCAGGAAGACGTCACTGAATGTAGGATTGTCAGTTACCCACTGGCCATTGGTGGGGGGGTTGGGTTGCCAGCTCCAGGTTGGGAGATTTGGGGGTGGAGCCTGGGGAGGACAGGGACCTCAGTGGGGTACAGGGCCCATAGAGTCAACCCTCCAAAGCACCCAATTTCTCCAGGGGAACCGGTCTCTGTCGTCTGGAGAGGAGCTGTGATTCTGGGGGATCCCCAGGCCCCACCTGGAGGTTGTTGGCATGCCCAGTCCACTCTCCAAAGCAGCCTTTTTCTCCAGGGAAGCTGATCTCTGTCGTCTGGAGAGGAGGTGTAATTCTGGGGGATCCCCAGGCCCCACCTGGAGGCTGGCCCCCCTACAGGATCTGAAAGGGCAGCCTTCATGGCTGTTTGATCCGTTTCAGAGCAGGAAATCTGAGTTGGCCACCCTGGGTGTGCACTCAAAAGGGAGCCAGGGATCTCGGAAGGGCGTCCGGAAGGATGCACACATTTTCACCCCCCCATTCACACGTTAGGCGTTGACTTTTGAAAGGTGTCCATCTTAAAGGGGTCGTGCTAAGAGGTCTGTCGGCTACTCTCGGGATGCCCATGTGTAGAAGAAAGTGGCATGGGCTCGGGATTGGGTTGGCATCACGTTTGGCCGTAGAAAGCCACCGGCCTCTGGGAGTCGCCCGCATGGGTCTTTCACTCTCACCTTCTGAAGAAGTGTGCATGCCCACGGAAGCTTATACCCATAATTAAACTTTGTGGGTCATAAAGGTGCCTCTGGACTCCGACTTTCTTCTCTCGCCTTCTTAGCCGCTCCTAGCAGAGCAGCTGGGAGCCAGACCTGCAAATTAAGAAGGCCCCGGGTTGAATCTCACTTTTCTTATGGGTTTCGCCTCCCACTGTCTGTAATTTGACCTACCCGGCATGGTCGTTGTATCTATTTTCACAGGGTAACATGAGTGAATTGAGTGAAACGCTTTAGATGCTGAAATCGATCGATGCCATTACTGTGGTTCACGTGGTTTGGTGTAGTGGTTAAGTGCGCGGACTCCGATCTGGGAGAACTGGGTCTGATTCCCCACGCCTCCACTTGCGGCTGCTGGATGACCTTGGGCAAGCCATAATTCTGTCAGAGCTGTTCTCTCAAGGACAACCCCGAAAAGAGCTCTCCCAGCCCCACCTACCTCACGGGGTGTCTGTTGTGGGGAGGGGAAGGGAAAGGAGATCGTAAGCCACTCTGAGACTCCTTCAGGTAGTGAAGGGCGGGGTATAAATCCAGTATCATCTTCTTCATCATCCAGGGGTCGTTTCGTAGAAAAAGAGCTAGGGGAACTCATTAGCATAACTCATTAGCATATACCACACCCCCTGCCATCACCGGAAGTGTGTCATAAGGCCACACCCCCTGCCATCACCGGAAGTGTGTCATAAGGCTACACCCACCACTCAGTTAGTCTTAGTCTTAAAGATTAATCTTAAAGGTGCTATTTGTTAGTCTTAAAGGTGCTATTTGAACTCTTGGACTATTTTGCAGCAACAGACTAACACAGCTAATTCCTCTGAGTCTAAACCCACCACTCAGGCTCCACCCCCAAAATCTCCAAGGTATTGCAAGGCCGGCGGGAGTGCGAGTGTGAGGAAGCCCCGCGAAGGCCCTCCCTGGCCCCAGGCAGGCAGGGGTGGGGAGAGGCGGGGACCCCCGAATCGACCCCTGTCTTCATCATCTTCTTCATTGCTAGGGTTTTCAACTCTGGATTGGGAAATTCTTGGAGGTTTGGGAAAGGAGCAGGGGAATGGTGAGGTTTGAGTAGGGAA